GCGCCCCCCCCCCCGCACACACACACACACACACACACACACACACACACACACACACACACACACACATTCACTCTGCTCTCTTAAGGCTGCTAGCACCTCACCACAAGGTGGATGGGAAAAGGAGTGAGTCACAGGATTCCCCCACCCCATTCTTCAGCAACCTTTTTCCACATGTGAGGCAACCTAACAGAGGAAGTAGAAGGGCAAGAAAAAAAAAAAAAAAGAGGAGGAATCAGGAGAGAGCGGCTGGGGTGGTGGTGGTGGTTGTTGGGGATGTAAGTAATTGAACAGTGCTAAACAAATCATAACATCACAACAAAAACATCAAAGATGATTCAGGATGGCCATGGTTTTACCACATGTATCTCTTCTCTCTTTTCAAAATAATTGCTGTAAGGGGAAAGGTGGGCAAGGTGGCTCAGGGGATAAAGGCTCTTGCAGAAGCTTGGCACCTGAGATCAATCCAGGAACCATGTTAAAGGTGGAAAGGGAGAGCTCACTCTTCTCTGGTACATGCACCCATATACACATCATGCTGTCTCACACATTAATAATTAATTCTAAAAATAAAATAACTGCGTGGTGGTGTACACCTGTGATCCTTTACTGGGAGCTCGAAGCAGGGAATCGGAAGTCATCCTTGGCTGAAGGTCTCTATGAGTCCAAGGCCAGCCTGGTCTACATAGCAAGTTCCAGGCCAGCCACAGATATATAGTGAGATTTGGACTCAAAAAAAGAAAGACAAACCTTATTTTAAGGGGTTTTTATAAGTGTTTTTAATTGAAAGAAAGCACCCAAAATGCCCTGGTACATTGACAGGAAGTGTAACAGGACTTCTCCCTTCTGCGACCTGGCTGAGGTCACCAACTCAATTGTTTATTTTTAAGAACACTAGTCATTTGCATGTTCAGAGAAAACTGATCTTTGAAAAAAAAAAGAAAGAAAATCAAAAGTATGTCCACATCCCCTTCCATCTTGTGGTCCTAGGTAGAAAGGAAGAATTTACACAGTGCTAAGACCCAGAGAAGTCAGAGCCTTGTCCAAGGACACAGCTGCTCAGGGACTCGCAACTCAATAATCAAGGAATTACAAACCACTTTATAGCCATCCTGGGTGCACCCCCCTCCCCGCCCCCAAACCCCATTAGGACAGCACGAAGAAAAGTCACTAACGAGCTTATTGAGTCTTAGCTAACCTAATAACCTCCTCTTCCAGGCACTGGAGAAAAGGAAAAACCTTACTTGGGGCAGCCTGACTGGATATCTAAAGCTGCTGAAAACCAAAGCCTCCTGGAGAAATGATGGGCCTCTGACCACAACAAGCAGGAAGCAGAGAGTCAACGTGCATTGAGCCAGTTGCTCTGCTGGTTGAATCCCGTGGGTTCCACTCTGGCTGAAGCTGGGAAACAGCTGTAACACCCAGTCAAACTAACTCTGAGCAGCTGGGGTAAGTCAGAAGACCTCTCCGTCCTTCACCATTTAGCTGGGGAGTGTCACTGCCAAGATTCCTCGCTGTTCCTTCAGTCTGTGGCAGACTCATAAACCAGTGCTTGAGGCAATGGAGCCCTTTATAAACAGAAGCACAAAACTTGCAGGTGCAAAGAACTACATGTGGCACATGCACATATGCAATGATGCACAACCAAAATGTTCAGTTGATGACTTAGTGAAGCATCAGACAGCAGCCTGCAGACCGTCATCTATGCCAGGAGATCACTGCTTCTCAAAAATCGGTCTGTGATGAGAGCAATACATGTGAATGCAATGCTTTGGAGGGAAGACTCACTAAGCAACCGATTTATCATTTTAAGTCTTTTGAGGCAGGGCCTCAGGTAACCCTGGCTGGACTCCAACTTCCTAGTTAGCCAAAGATGATCATGAACTCCTAATTCTACTGTTTCTACCTCCCAAATGCTTGTATTACAGGTATGTGCTACCACACCTAGCTATAACTGACTTTTAAAAAAAAATGTGTCTGTTTATCTGTATGAGAATGTGCCATGTGTGTGAAGGTCTCCATGGAGATCAGACACCAGAAGAGGCTGCTGAGTACCCTAGAGCTATAGTAAGAGGATGTCGTGAGCAACCCGATGTGGGTGCTGGGAACCAAACTCAGGTCCTCTGGAAAAACAGTGAGGGTTCTTAACCACTGTATCATCTCTCCAGTCCCTGTACTAGATTTTAAATCTCCAAAATAACGATTTCATTTGGCCCAACTATTTATTTCATATAAGAAAGAACCCACACCAGGAGAGGTGCTGACAGTCTCTTGATAAATCAGTACAGGGACTGAGATCTAAACAAGGGCCTTTGAGGTCTGGGTTTGTGCCTTGTGCAGTAGTCCTTCATGGCATGCTGGAGAAATGAAGATACAATCATGGTGACTAATTCTAAGGCATATGGCAAAAAAAAATTGTACAATTGCAAAAAACCTAGAGAAGTAGTGTCTATTAGAACTTTGTAAGATGGAAATATTCTATATTCCATATATTGTTCCAAAACAGCAACGACTAGCCACATGTAGCTATTGAATGCTTGAAATATAGCTAAGGCAATTAGGCAACTAGAATTTTGATGCTATTTAATTTTAATTCATTTAAATATTGATGACGTAATTTTGAAATATTCTGTTCAACTGTCCTAGAGACGATTGCGATGTCTCCCCAAACTAGATTAGATCTAATACGGCATGTCTCTCCTGATTGAAGAAAAGTACAAAATTCCTGTTGGGTCATACAATTTAAAATTGCTCAGAAGATATGTTTATCATGTCTGGTAAAGAACTGTGTTTAGCTTTAAGGAACATGAACATATTCTATTCCAGTTTCCCTACCCCATGCTGTAGTGATATCAATAGAAGAGTTGGGACAGTAAGTAGGTTAGATGGAAGTTGGTTAGGAGGAATGACTGGGGCAATAATCAATACAATGTAATGCCTGAATATGGGAAAACCACAAAGCATGCTGGGAACTGCAATCCTTCCCACTACTTCAGGCCTGGGAGAAGGCAAGGACTGCAGCAAACTGCTTTACACAGGCTCCTGCTTCTGCTTGATTCTGCTTCTGTTTAGCTTCCTCAGTCTGCATTATCTTAGCAACAATGGCAGGCACTTCCTCTACAAACTAAAAGCCACTCAAATATCAAATGGAATAGCAAAACTGATTTAATTTTACTATGTTCCAAGTCCTATATGAAGCATCAATATGTATGCATTTGATGGCCACATTTACAATGAACAGTTTGCTATTTACACATGAAGAAAGATTGGAGGACAAATATCTTGTTCCTGACCTAACTATTGAGTGGTGAAGCCAAAGTCTCGGTCCTGAAACATTATAAAGTATGAGCACTAGGAACTGAGCCTATGGACTAGGCAAGTGCTGGCATGGAGCCACAGCTTGGGTACTTTTATATGATGCTTGCAACATAGAAGGTACTAACCTAATGCTATTAGAAGAGTGAATGCACCAGTGAAAGAAACATTAGCAAATTCATTCAAACCATCTATTAGTAAATATAATAACACGTTTCCATAATTAAGACTCTCAGCCCTAAACAAAGCTGTCATTTGGTGAAAACACTGCCTGTGACTCTTCTCTGGGTAAAACTAAAATGTGTGAGATTCACACCTATGAAAAATTTAACACATCCACTGCAGGCTGTCATTCATGATGGAAAGAAGCGCGAAGGCAGTTTAAGTAAACCAATAACTAAAACTATCAATGAAATGACCCATGAAATAATTTCTTAATCGTCCTTTCATTTTCTCCTATCAGTTGGGTTCTTTAAGGGCCACATGCTTACAACTTTTTCACATTTACATTCAGAGACAGCAGCACAGACACACACAGAAAGGCCTGTGCCCGACAAGAAGGCAAACATGCTATGGCTTCAAAACTGTACATGTGTGTATGTATGTGTGTATTATGTATGTATGTATGTGTGTATATGTGTGTATGTATGTATGTGTGTATATGTGTGTATGTATTTGTGTATGTATGTATGCATGCATGCATGCACTATGGTGCTGGGTGTTGAACGGCCTTGTGCATGCTGTCAAAGCACTCTCTCACTATATACCACATGCCTAAACTGCTCTTTTGTCTCTAGATTCTTCCACTTGCCAGTCTATGTTTATCATAATCATTTCAGACAATAGATTCAGAATCTTGCTACCCCAGTGCCCATTATCTTTCCACACTCCCTTTCTGTAGCACAGCAAATAGGAATTCTTTGTGCCCGGCTCTGCAGGCCTCCCCTGGGATCACCTCTATTCAGGCTAGAAGGCTCCTAGATGTCTCAGGCTCATTTTCCCTTCTGAGCTTTCACACTGACTCTGCTTTAAGTGTCCCACACCCTGCTTCCCTGCCTTCTTCAAGCTTTGTTTTCTCCACTTCCCTGACCACACTTTTGTTTTGTTTTTCTCTTCCTTTTATTCTTTTAAATGTTGAGAATTGGCCAGGACTGTATGCATGCTAATTGAGCACTCCACCACTGAACTCTGTGCTCTCCTTTAACCACTCTTGATTTTTTAATCTGTTTTACTCATCTCCTGATACACATGGCTCATTCCTGCTCCTCCTTTGGGTCCTTGTTCAAATGATCATTTAGACCTTGGTCCTTCTCATACTATTCTATTTTAAATGACCATAGTCCCTCATACTCTCACTCCTATGAGTCTCTGTCTGATTTATTTTTATTTTTTCCAATAGTCTTCATCATCACCTTGGATATTCTATGTTTACTTGTTCTTTTCTGTATGGAGAGTGGGTGGATACATGTGTATGTAGGTAGGCACTAGTATACATATATATTCATGCAAGTAGAGGTCAGGTAACATCCACCTTGTTTTTTGAGACAAGCACTGGTACTTGGGGCTCACCAATTATGCTAGGTAGGCTAGCCAGCCAGCTCCAGGAGTCTACCTGTCTCTGCCTCCTCGGCACTGTGATTATAAGTGGACCCTACTACACTGGCTTCTTCACAGGGGTTCTGGGTTCGAATTTAGCTCCTTATGCTTGCAGAGGAGACATGTCACTGAGCTATCTCCCCAGCCCTTCCCCCTTCCCTTGAAGGATAACCTCAAGCTGGCTGTCCTCCTGCCTTAGCCTCTCAGGTGCTGCCATGGTAGACACATGCCACCACATCTCTCTTATTGTTCTTTTATCATTAGCTTTTCCCTGCTCATGATGGAATTTTGTATGTCTTGTTACTGGTTTATTCCAGAACTAAAAACATTTATTGTCTGGCACATTGTAGATGCTAAATACAAAACTAGCTGAATTCACTAATCCTTTTCTTTCAAGAATGAAAAGACACTGGGACCGAGTGGATGCTTCAATGGTTTAAAGCTCTTATTAATCTTACAGAAGGCCTGGATTCGATTCCCAGGACCCATATGGAGACTCACAGACCATCCATAACTCCCAGCTCTAGTGATATGACATCCTTTCTGACTTCCATGGATACCGGGCACTCATGTGGTGCACATACATACAGATGACAAAATACTGATATACATAAAAATAAACCTAAAAAAAGATTCAAAGATACCAAGTATGGTGGTACATGCCTGTAGTCCCAGTTCTGGGAGGTGGCTGCAGGAGGAGCCAGAGTTTATAATGTTATCTTTGGCTAAATGGTGAGTTCAAGGCCAGCCTGGGCTATATAAGAACCTGCCTCAAAAAAAATTTAATAGTACTGATATATAATCCCAGCTCTTGGGGAAGCTGAGGCAGGAGGTTCATACATCCATGGTCAAGGTAGGCTCCAGAGAGTACAAGGTTAGTCTGGCAATTTAATAAGACCCATCCTTCAGTGTTTTATAAGGCCTGTAGATGTAGCTGGCTGGTGTAGTGTTTGCTTGGTGTGTGAGAGAATCAAGTTCAATCCCCAGCACTGGAAAAACAAACAAACAGAAAACAGATAAATAAATCCAAAGGTCTAGTACTTCAGTACACCATCAGTTCGTCCTTACAGTTAATGTTAAGGCTATGGGTCTTTCTTTGTCTCTTATGGTATTTGCAAGCCACATAAAATTTGTGGTATCCTCTTGTATTTTCTTTTCCTTTACCCATGTATTCTTCGATTAAATATATATTGGGTCCCATATATATATATATATATGTTTATGTATCAGGCCCTATTCTTTTAGCAAAAAACTGAAGAACTGAAAGATCCACTTATATATACACACACATATATATATATATATACAACAAAGAAGGCTGGAGGAAGGAACAGAAAAATGGAGAACTCAGCATCAGATGAGTCTAGATGAGGGGACAGAGTGCACAGGGGGTGTGTGACAGCCAGAAACGGGCAGAAGGAACAAGACACAGTAGTGAGAGACTAGGGTAGAATGTTGCCAAAGTAACCACCAGATGGCAGTGCTTAATATAAACCATGCCAAAGTAGATGTGCAAATGTATTCTACACCTTTTTCTTTTTCTTTTTTAATCACACATCACATTGTCTGCCAAATATCCCATGGTTGAAAATCAGACCAAGACAGTGATATCTGGTAGATGTTTTGGAAGTGACTCTTGGGTCTCTACTAGGAAAATTCCTTAAGTGCTCTTTCCATACTGCCAGTCACCACTGGCCTCACCATTATTAATTATACTAGCAAAAGCCAATCTTTCATGAGGACCCAGGATCTTCATTGTCTCAGATTGATGACATTCAGCTGCCCTCTGAAGGATGTACACAAAATCTGAAATCACAATTCTTCCTTTACAGGATACTTATTCTATAAAATGCTCATATCTGATTATATGGAACCAATTTGGTTTATAATGAAGCAATAGGAATAAATTTTTTGGGTTTTTGACACAGGGTTTCTCTATGTAACTTTGGAGCCTATCTTGGCACTCGCTCTGGAGACCAGGCTGGCTTCAAAATCACAGAGACCCCCCTGCCTCTGCCTCCCGAGCGCTGGCATTAAAGGCATGTGCCAACAACAACCGGCAAGAATAATTTTTGCATTGAAAAATAATCCAACGTGTGTTCTTCCTCCAAGATAGTGGCTGTGAAAGTTGGACTCTCTTTTCAACTCCATGACCATTAGTGCAGTAGGAAGTAGACATGATTTGTCACTAAACACACTGTTGTGCTGATCCACTTAGAAAAAAAAATTATTTTTCTGTGAGGAAGGGTTCTGTACCCTGAAAATTCTCCCCTTTTTCTTCTGCTTAAAACTATATCTTGGCCAGGTGGTGGGGGTGAATAACTTAAATCCCAGCACATGGGAGGTGGTAGCAGGCAGATCTCTGTGAGTTTGAGGCCAGTCTAGTCTACAGAGCTAGTCCCAATACAGCCAGGGTGGCTACACAGAGAAACCCTATCTCAAAACACAACAACAACAAAAAGCCAAAAAACCAAGACTCTATCTGGACTGGAGAGATGGCTCAAAGTTAAGAGTGCTCCCATTGCAAGGGATCAGAGTTCTATTCAATTTCCAACACCCATCCATGTACACATCCATACACATATCAGTAAAAGTTAAATATAAAGTCTTTGATTACAATTATATCAAGCCATTCTATTATAATGCTATTTAATATGTAAATTGTATTGTTATACATAATAAGGTATGGTTTAAAGGGACAAAAATAAATTACCAATCTATGGGTGAGAAAAATGTTCCTATGTTTTCAAGTAGTCTTAAGTTGCTTATTTTCTTTTTTAAATACGTGAATGTTTTCTTGCATGTATATGTTTACTGTGTGTGTTCTTGGTCCCCTTAGAGGTCAGAAGAGGGCATCAGATCCCCTGGAACTGAGTAACAGGTAGCTGTGAGCTGCCATGTGGGTTCTGGGAATCAAACCCAGGTCCTCTGCAAAAGTAATCAGGGCTCTTAATTTCTGAGCCATTTCTCCTGCCCCCAAGTTGCTTATTTTCAATGTGTGTGGTGGAGAGACTTAGAAACTCAACAAAAGGGGGCTAATAAATTGCCAAGATGATGATAGCCAATGGTATCGCATACAATTCCATATCTCCAAAGGCTGAGGCAGGAGGAAAGAGGCCAGCCAGCCTGAGCTACAGTGATTTTAGTGCCAGACTAGGATCCATAGCAAAACTCTACCTCAAAAAGTCAATCCAGCAGGGGCTGGAAAGAAAGCTCAGCTGTTAAGGGCACTGGCTGCTCTTCCAGAGGATCCAGGGATTATTCCTAGAATCCACATGGTGGCTCTCAACTGTCTATAACTCCAGTTCTAAGGGATTGAGCACCCTCCTCTGGCCTGTCAGCACCAGGCATGTGGTGCATAGACATACATGGAGGCAAAACACCCATACATATAAAGTAAAATAATAAAATAATGAAAATGAAAGACAAATATACATATCACAAAATTAACAACATCCAAGTTTATATATAATAGTATCACAATGAAAACATTTGCATAGATGAAAAAACGAGAAGAATGTAGCCTAGAATATTCAGTTTGTTTCTGTCTTTTTTTTTTTTTCTCGAGACAGGGTTTCTCTGTGGCTTTGGAAGCTGTTCTGGAACTAGCTCTTGTAGACCAGGCTGGTCTCGAACTCACAGAGATCCACCTGCCTCTGCCTCCCGAGTGCTGGGATTAAAGGCATGCACCACCAATGCCCGGCTTCAGTTTGTTTCTGGATGGGAGACTTATGGGTTGGTTTTATATTTTTTAATCAGAATTTGTTATGTATCTCAAGTGTGCTGTGCTGTAATTAATTTTATTTTTGAACAAACCTTAAACAATGCATATCTACTAACTAACAGCTAGAGTTTTCCAATCTCTGCCTGGTTTTATTAATTCCAGGGAAAAGGTAATGAATTGATGCTCAAGTGAGCTAGGATTTCTATAAGAATGAGGAGCAAGTTGCAAACAACTTGTTCCAGGCTCTATATCCTGGTGGAGAAGGACTAACACTCCTCTGAGGTCATCATCACACTCCTGACAATACACCAGAACTTACAGAGGGTGTGCCAGGAATCGTGGAGTTACAGACTCTCATAACCACGTGAGTCCCCATCTTCAGTGTCCCTAGAAGAGCTGACTCAGGGCCACCTAAAATAGGAAAAGATGATATGTGAAAATACGTAGGAGGAGGAAAAACCTCAAAAGCTAAATTAACCTGGTAGGAGTCAGGTCCCAACTTAATTCATCTTGAAGTGTTAGACTCAGGACCCTGATGAGCAGCTAAGTTATTGTAGTCAGAGTAGTGTCTTCTCAGATGCATTTTCTTATTTATGTATCATGTGTAGGGGGAGGTGGAGATAGTAACTGCAGAGGCCAGAAATGGGGATGGATCCCCTGCAGCTGGAATTACTGGAGGTTGTGAGCCACTGAACTTGGCTGTTGGGAACCAAGCTCAGGTCCTCTGGAAGAGCAGTCGCCACTCTTGACAGCTGAGCCATCTCTCTAGTTCCCCAGTGACATTTTAAAACAACTTTAATTTAGGTTTTCACAGAAATAAGACAGAATTTTCTTGGCTCCCTACCTCCCAAATCTTTCCTACATTTGTCAAAAACAACAACAACAACATTATATTCAGATAACCAGAAGACATACAAGATGATCTGCTCCTGATACACTTTTCATTCTTTGGGAATTTGTTTTTTATATTCAGGAACTTTTAACTCCCACAGAAAGCATATACATTGAGGAGGAGGGTGGGGAGTTGAGAAAGGGATACATGTAACCCAGGTTGGCCTCCACTTTTCTATGTAATAGAGAATGGCTGAACTCTTGGTCCTCCTGTCTCCACTTTTCAAGTAGTGAGGTCACCCGTGAACATGCCAGACCTGGTTTGGCATTTATAATTCTTTTTTAAAGATTATTTTATGTACATGAGCACTCTATCTGCATGTATGACTTTATGCCAGATCTCACTATAAAACGGTTGTGAGCCACCATGTAGTTGTTGGGAATTGAACTCAGGACTTCTGGAAGAGCAGCCAGTGCTCTTAATCGCTGAGCCATCTCTCCAGCCCAGCATTTATAATTCCAAGGCAGAATTTGTCTACAGAATTTTATGTTTACATAGTGTTACATACAAAATTTTTTTTGATCCTCATAGTTAAGAACCCTTGGAGTATTTTGTTTACCCTAGACAACACATAGAAAAATAGCGAGGGAGTTGCTCCAACAGTTTTCAGTGAAAGCAGTCTTCCAGTCCATCTCTTTGAACCCACTTGTACTAACTGGGTCTGTGCTAGCGAACAAGCCTAACAATGGCTGTATCAATGGTGGTGATAATGATGATACGACTGAATTTTATGTAATACTACAACCGTTGTAAATTCACATAGACACTACAAGACTGATACTACAAGACTGATCTACACGTGTGTGTGTGTGTGTGTGTGTGTGTGTGTGTGTGTAAGACAGAGAGAGAGAGAGAGAGAGAGAGAGAGAGAGAGAGAGAGAGCTGCAATTCCCTTGTCAGTACTCATCTTTAGGGAATCGCCCTCTTAATGAACTAACAGGTTTATTTGGGGAGAGTAGTACGATGGGTTAAGAAAGGGAAGTGAATTATAACTCATCTCCAAGCTCTAAAGTCTGAAGTAGAACTGTACACCTGTACACTAAGACTCCACAGGGTTCAGAGAGAGCTCAGACCCCAAAACTTCTGCCTCCATTTCCCACCCAAACCCCTTTGGCACCTCGTCCCCGCCGTATGTCTCTGCTTCCGATCTGGATGCTCAACAGGTGGTAATTATATTTCTCAGCTACCCATCACTTTTCAGCACCTACCTCTTAAATTATCGGCCCGTTTGGCTCAGCATCTTCCGGGCTGTAGGGCAATTCGTCTAAGCTGCGCGTTCCTGCTGCCATGGCGACACGGAGGCTTGTATGGGTCCGGCCTGCCTTGCTCGGGACAAGAGCCAGCCAGTGTAAGCCTTGGCCTGCCTCCTGCCTTGCAGGCCCCGCCTCCAGCCGACCAAGAACCCGCCTCTACCATTCTGGACCCGCCTTCTAGAGTCCGGACCACAACCCGTGCCAGCCCCCTCGCTAAGCCTTACGTCTTCATGTTCCCACCCCCGCTCATATGGTCCCGCCCACTGCCCGCCTTCGGCCAATGGGAGCTTGCCTTCTGCTCACCAAGCCGCATCCCAATGCTGACTAGAAGGTGTGCGGGCATCTCCATTGGCTGGACCCTTCCATAGTGTGGGCTGGGACAAGTTGCAAAACCCAACCCCAGGAACAATCACTCAGCCTGTTCTTCCTACTATTTATTTATTGATCCTAACGGCTTCCCAGACGAGAGTGCTAACCATCCTGCAAGGAGAGTTTCTCCAGGATGTTAGTGCCCGAAATTTGAAGTCCTTATGACCGGTGGTTGGAGAAGACTTTAGAATCAGTCAGTCCCCGTTTCCATCCCTGTGCTAAGGTCTGGAGCCCTTGGCCCAGATACTAGATTAATTGCCCACAGCAGTCCCGAGGCTGTGTGCAAGGGCTCAGAAAGCTTTTCCAGAGCGCTTCCTCTGCGGTTTTGGAGTAAAGGTGTGTAAAGGGGATGTGATTAGCTGAGCATAGTGACCACGTGTCTGTAATCCCAGCGCTGAGGGTGGGAGACCAGGATAGATCACGATTTCAAGGCCACCCTCAGCTACATAGCAAGCAAACAAAAAATAAAAACAAACCCCCCAAATATCGTTAAATAATTCCTATCAGAGACAGTCAAAGTGCATAGAGGGCTCTTGCTGCATTTGAGAGTCCAAATAATGTTAGGGGTCAAAGGACGACTGTTTTGCACACTTAAATATTTGTTTGGAACTCAGCCCACCCATAACCTTACCAAAACTCCACAATAACAGTGGCAAACCAAAAGGTTCATAGTGCAGAGAGAGGGGAACCCAGAATTCCAGATGTTCTGGTGTTCTCTAAGATTAAAACATGGCCAACATCCTTGTTCTCAGAAGCAGTAGATTGTCCCCCACAGAACTGTAAAATTGTGGAAACCAGTACTTCCTTCCAAGGGCTCACACCAGGGTTCCATTGTTGCAGTCATATCGAGGTGTGGCCTTGGGGAAGCGAAGGACGGCATACTCTGTGGCAGTTTCTAGATGGAGGCGGTTCACCTTGCCAGAGTGTGGCTGCGTTTGGCTGAGCACATGAATGTCCGCATAATGCAAATGACTCTCCTCGGATGTGGAGTCTGAACTTCTCTTTTGAGATACAGGCCGGTGTAACACTTGCTCATACATTGGTCCTATTGTTTCACAGTCCTGGTAGAAATCAACAGAATTAAGAGAGGCTCTTGGTTTGGTTTGCCCCTCACCTCCCATTCAGGACCAGTTAGACCGAGGTTCCTTTACTTTGCTCCTTTGGGAGGTCAGGTAACACAACATGAGTTCCCCACTGCGTGTGTGGGGGGGGAATGAGGGGAAGGACAGAAGACAGCCTCGGGAGAGGGTCCCTGCATTCCATCTTGTTTGATACGGGGGTCTCTCTTGGTCACTGCTGCATAAGATATTGCCCTGTCTTCTGTTTCCCATCTCCCAGTAGGGATGAGTTGGGATTATAGAAACTTCCGCTGCTGCCTCTGGCTTTTCTTTTCTTTTCTTTCTTTTTTTTAATGCCGGTTCTGGCGATCTAAACTCAGATAGTCAGGCTTGCACACACATCAGTGCTTTACCTGATGAACCATCTCCCCAGAGTGACGCAGCAGTTTCTACAGATGGTTGAAATGAATCTTTCTCAGGGTGAAAAAGCTGAGCAGTGGGATCCCACATCTGAGGGGGCCTGAGAGGGGACGGAAGCCTCTCATTACCTTTGTACCATTCTTCTGTAGCTGTAGCTGTTGTTGTAGCTGTTGCTGCTTCAGTATGCTCAATGTGGATCTTGCTTGGCTCCCTGTAGGGGAAGAAAGCCAGCTAACTTACACTCATTCTCTCTGTCTCTACTGAGACTGCCCTCTTCAAATGTCTATTAGACCATTGGAGTGGGCTTCTAGTGAATCTCTCTGGCTGCAGTCCTACTTCTGTCACTTCTACTAATCTACACCCAAACACTCTCCCAGGATATACAATCTGGCCCGTTCTCTACCTCGATATATTATTTTCCATCTTCCTTGCTCACCAGCCAGAGCTCATACTGTGCTAGGCCATGGTCTGGGGAGATAAGGATGAGTAAGCTATTTCCTCTGCCTTGGGAAATCTACCTGAGAAGACATTTGAGTCAACAGACCACTACAAAAATGTAGTACGTGCTCAACTACACCACTGGGCCACTTTCAATCAAGCCATTTATTTCCCGCCAAGCATTTGCATGAACTAACTCCTCTGCCTCTGCTGGCACTCTCTTCTACTGACTTGTGAACTTGATATTATTCCCAGGGCATCAGTGTTTTCTTTTTTTTTTCCCCATTTTTTAATTTAAATTAGAAACGAGATTGTTTTGCATGTTAATCCCAGTTCCCTTCAGTGTTTTCTCTGTATTCTGTTATAGCACCAGTAGATAATATTATAATTACTTATTTACATGAATCTGCCTCTCACAGTTGGTTTTCAGCTCTTCCAGACCTAAGACCTTGGAACCTTCCCCTGGGTTTCTCTTCCTCATTGGGAACCCACAGAATGGCTCATCTACAATACAAGTACTCAGTTGCATTTTGTGGATAAGTAGAAGCATGAGCAATGAACTCTGCCACGTGAAGTAATGGGAAAAGTAAGATCCATAGGTTCAGGGCTAGTCTTGGGCCCAAGAAACTAAAGATTCTTTTTGTTATATCACCTCCCTTTGTCTTATCCGATGTCCTATCTCTTTTCTACACCTTCTCCAAGAATGTTGGTTTTACTGTCTTTTCCAATTTCCCTTTCCCTCAATGCCCTCTCCCCTATTACCTGTTTTGTTTTTCTTCTGGAAAGTTGATGGGCAGCTCCTATGTAGAAAAACAGATTGTCCATGTACAAGAGTTCTGTATGTTCTCTCCATCACAGTTGCTGTGTGGTCTCTGCTTCACATTCTTGGATGACATTCTCCTACCACCCCAAAGATTCACTCTGTGCCAGGGTCAGCCTGAAAGTACTTGTAAAGGATACAAACCTCTCCCAGATAAATGGTTCTGGAAAGTAGGGTGGTAAAACTGACATAACCAAACCCAAAATACAGGTTTAGGCAACCAGGCAGAGAAGGCTATTCTGGGATTGTCTATCAAGCTAATCTCAGTAGAGGCTAAGGGAAATCTGCCAAATTATGGAATATATTCCTGGATCCTGAGACTGAATCTTCAGTACTATTTTTTGGGGGTGGGGGTTGGGGAGCTCTTTGGCAACCTGGGAGTTCTATGAGTCATAGGAACTGAGACAACCAAGGCTACCTAGTCAGGGCCCTGCAAAGCTCTATTCCAGTATGTGGCTACCCTCCTCGCTGCCCTTGTTTTTAGTTAACAGAAGTGAGAAATGCTTTGCCTAACCTTTAATGCCCTTTGGAGCACTGGTCTACAGACACTGGGAACAATGAATTTGGGGAGTGACTCAGCAATCATGCTCCTGGGGTCCCTATGGCGCCTGCACGATTATGTGACTATGAATGATTGATGTCCAGGGAAAAGGGGTGAATAGTTTCAGGCTTACTTTGGGAACCTATTCTTGCTAGTATATTTCCAAATCTCACCAGTGCCCTATTTGTCTGATTTTGCCTCTCCTCACGAAGTTTCTTTCTCTTGGAAATTAAAGGAAGAGAAAGAAGAGAGAGAGACATGCAGATAACTAAATCCTGTTGACCGAATTCCTGTAGGGGTGGGGGAACCAGGATTTTTCCACACAAGTTTTCCACACTCTGTTTTGGAATGATTTTCAGTTTTGAAGCAACTTCCTTAGAACCAGGGAGTTGGTCTTTAGCTAAACCACTAAAGGTGGTTTGGCAGAAAGCCAGCTTCTGTCTTCTGCCACTTCTTCCTCTACTACTTCAGTTCTTGCTTTGTGTTAAGACTGCCTTGTTTGAGCCATATGGTAGGAAGCAATGCCTTGCCTCCTGTCACTCCTGTTTCCCTACTTGTTTCTATGTAAGTGGGCAGAGAGGATGTTAATTAGAGAATACATGACCAGAGCCATCCAATTTTAATGAACAGAACCTGTTCCCAAGTTGGATGCTGCATAGAACCCAGATACAACCTGATAGTCATAGGTGACAGAATTAGTTTTAGGTTAGACCTAAAGAATTTAAATGGGCCATCTTCCACAATGGTCGTAAGAACAAAAAATTGAACAATTCTTTCAGAATGCAATTGACAATAAGGATAAAGATCTTTAAACATAAATGCATATACTGTCTGATGTAGCAATCTCATATACCAATACACAACTATACATAGGTACATATGGATAATTATTGTGGTATTACCATTTCAAAAAAGGAAACATATTAAATCATCAATATTGGTAGAAAATGGCAAACTAAGCCAGGCGATGGTGTCACACATCTTTAATCCCAGCACTTGGGAAGCAGAATTTGAAGACTCTACATTTGAGGGCAGCCTGGTCTATCTATAGAGCAAGTTCCAGGACAGCCAGAGCTACACAGAGAAACTCTGCTCAAAAAAAGAAAAAAAACCAATAACCAAAAATAAATAAGGACCAGGTGTGGTGGTGCCCACCTTTAATCCCAGTACAGGGGAGGCAGAGGCAGGCAGATCTCTGAGTTTGAGTCCAGCCTGGTCTATAAAGTGAATTCCGGGACTACATAGAACTTGTCTCAAAAGTCAAACAAAAAAGTAAATATATATGTAAACAAATATAGGCAGGTGTAGGCAAAGATCTATTTATTTATTTATTTATTTATTTATTTATTTTTGTTTCTTTGATACAGGATCTCACCATGTAGCTTTGGCTACCCTAGAAATGCCTGTCTCTGCCTCTCAAACACTGGAATTAAAGACATGTACCACCATGCTTAGCCAAATTTCTTTTTATTGCTACCTTCTGCTTCTGTCACTTCCTGGTACATACACATGCTCAGTAAATATTTGTTTAATAACCAAATAGATAAATGAACTAGCAGGCACAGGACTCGAGTTCAGGATTATGTCTTCACATTTTAGGTGCTTTCCAATGTACTTCACTTTTCCCTCTACATGTGTTGTTCATGAACTCTGCCCCAGACACAAAATGATATAGCTAAGAGTCAGCTGACAGCATAAAGCCATATTTGGGAATTTGTAGTAGTGGCGAACACTTAGGGGGAAAGTTATAAAACCACAAATAATCTATTATTGTTTTTTGATGTCACTTCTGGGTTTTGTTTTTACTAGCTTTTGCTCTCCAAAACAAACCTATGCTGCAAACAATAGGGACTGTGTATTTTACAAAAGTGAGGGTCCAGAGAAATTACAGGACTGCCTGAGGCCACATAGCAAATAGCATAAAAGTTATATTCACATTTCCCATGGACACTCTCCTTCTTCCCACTTCTGTCATTTCAAACAAACATTTGTCCAAATCCTGTTGCTCAATCCATGATCGCCTCTATGATTACCTAGTGAGGAAAGTATGGGTTCTGAATTCTAGCAGCCTGGCTTGGAATCTTGTTTTACCTGCTAAGTTACTAGCCATATGACAAACATTAGTTAACGTCTCTGAGCCTCTGCTTCTTGACTGTCTATAAGATGGGAGCAACGGTAAGACCACTTACAGAAGTGTTGAGACAGCTGAACGAGATTGTAAGTGACTGCACAAACAACAGTCAAACGCTCCAATTATTATGGTCTGGGGAAGAAAGAGAAGGAGAGCAGGAAGCAGAAAGGAGAAAAGAGAGAAACAAGGCTGGTTCACCAGTCCTGCTAACTCTACACTCTACATCTTGCTGTGTTTTTAAGGCGTCCTAGGTACTACTGCTCAGATATTCGACCCAGGATGTGGCAGGTGAAGGAAGGCGCGATCTCTCCAGCTCTCTATGATTCTCAGGGTTTCATATCCACCACCGCAGACGGTCCCCTCCACCTTTCGGCCCTACTCACCAGCTTCCCCCACAGCATAGCCTGTTTCCCATGGCGGATGTGTCTCCCAGTGAGTCCAGCTGGTTTTCAGACATAAAGAAGTTTGCGCATTTCCTGGTTCCCTGTAGAGCGAACCGCAGCAGCTCCCAGGGAGTCGCTGTCAGTGTCAGATTTCAACCAAGTAGGTTGGACCTTGGAAGCCACCTGGTGGAATCATTCCCAGGTGACTGTTCCCAGCCAGAGGGTAGAAAAGACACACGGGCTTCAGGTGAGAGTTATCTCACCTTTGGGATTTGAAGCTTTTTTTGGTGAGGCCATAAACTTTGCGGCAAGCTTCGTTTTTAAAAAGAAACCTGAGGCTCTGAGTTTCCACAGGAAATGTTTCTCATCGCCTTTGAAATATATCCTTTATAACGGAACAAAGGGTCCCCCCTTATGTCTGCCCTACCACACTTAGGTTTGAGTTTTACTGTCAAGATAATTGGTACCAGTTTCATATGTCCACAATATGGGCTTGAATCCTAGAGGCTTTTAGAACCTGAAAAGTAGGGAAATGGAATGCTCTCACAGGCTCACTATTAAAATTAAGGTGTACAAATCTCCTAACCTTTTATCATCTAGATTTCCAGCACAGTGAAGTGTAAGCACTGAATGTATTACCTAATCCTCTTTCTGGTATAAACCAGATGGCTCTGTGGTTGGGATGGAGCACTCACTGTCCTCTTCCCAGCTCAGGACTACAAAATCTCCACCTACCCTGTTTGCAGCTTCTGCTTCCAATGACCCAAATTTGGACCTGTTCCTCATTGGCCAGTAGCTATGATGCAACTGAGTGAATTCCCCTTAGAAAATATGTTTCCAGGTTGGTTATGGTAGTGTATGCATTTAATCCCAGGACTTGGGAGACAGAGGGATGAGGGTCTCTGTGAGTATGAGGCTTCAGGCTGGTCCATAGGGCAAGTTCCAAGATAGTCAGGAATCACAGAGACCCTGTCTCAAATAAAGGACGACAACAACAATAAAAAGTGTGTGTGTGGGAGGGGGTATGTCTCCAAGAGAATCTTTGGAACCCATAACTCCAATCTTCAATGTTTTCTTGGCATCTTTAGTGTTGTCCTGGGATGCCATAATCAGCCCTGCACTCCACAGAGTGTGGTGGATCCTGAACTCCTCCCCATCTTAGGAAAAATGAGGATGAGAGTGACTGCCATGTAGAACTGTGATTCTTAAATGAGATGTATGTATATAAAGCTTTAGTCCAGGGCCTGGCACCTGGAACTCCTTCAGTAAGTCTTAGCTATTCTTACTATTATTACTTCTTGTTCTCAGACAATTATCAGATGGTAAAGCATTTTATTTTACTATCTCATGTTCCAGTCCTTGCACATGCTTCTCTCCTACAGACCATTCTTTATTCTACTATTAACTATATTCTTTCCATCCTGTAACCTGCTTCCCTTCTCTGGCTCAAAAACCAGCAATAAATTTCCCGTTGCTTATAGCACAGATTTCTCAAAGCCTTTCATAAGCTGTTTCATTGCCAGCCACCTCTCGGCAACTTACAGAATTTATCCAGGAGATTTTTAGAGGGCCAGAAAAGACAAAAAGCACTTGGGGTATAAAACCTGTTATGCCTTAAGCAGAGTAATACAAGTGTAGGGTGATAACATCAACAAATGAGTATTCTATTGAAATCTGACCCCGTCAGTCCATCTGGAATAATTGTAGGCTTCTCATCAACTTTCAAATTCTATTGTCAGTGTGTTACAAAAGAAAGTTGTACAGATGTGTAAGATATTGTACAGAAAGTGCTACAAGATATAGCTGAAAGGACAAGGCACAATTTCAGTGTGGGTGTGTGTAGGGGAGCACTTTAGAAGAAATTAGCTAGCCCTGGTTGTGCCAGCATGTAGGAAGCCCTGTGTGGCTGAAGTCCTGAGTGAATATGTACTTTGATATGGGTTCAGCCTTTTGAGTATGGATGAGGGTTTTTTGTTTTGTTTTGTTTTTTGCTGGTTTTTTGAGACAAGGTTTCTCTGTATTGTTTTGGATCCTGTCCTGGAACTTGCTGGGTAGATCAGGCTGGCCTTGAACTCAGAGATCTGCCTGTCTCTGCCTCCCGAGTGCTGGGATTAAAGGTGTGCACCACCACTGTCTGGCCTTGAGTATGGATGTTAATGAATAATTAATCAGTGTGTACAAAGACCAGCAACTTTGGCCTCCTCCTCCCCAAAATTTGCAGCCCAACACAGAGACCTCCAACCAAGCCTTGCTAACCTCCCCTCTGTGCTGTATCTAATAAACATGCTGAGGTGCTAGAGAACCTGATCCTAGCTTCACTGTCTGTCTGTGCATCTGTCTTTCATTCCCTCGACATCCCTAGCTAGGGTTCTGGGACCCAAACTTTTTAAAGATTCTGTCCATCCTGTAATCCCAGGTACTCTGGAGTCTGAGGCAAGAGGATAGGCCAGTCTGGGCTACATAGTGAATTCAAATCCCATCTGGGCTGCCTAGTTGGATCCTGTCCTAAAATAAATGGTAAAAACCAAGTCAATGATAGAGTACTTGCCTAGCATATACAAGGTCCTATTGAGGGTGTGTGTGTGTGTGTGTGTGTGTGTGTGTGTGTGTATGTATGTAGATATGTATACATAAGTATTTATATATAAATATGTGAATGTATGTTTGTAGATATATGTATAGATAAATATATATATATATATATGCATGTTTCTAAATATATATGTAAATTTGTAAATGTATATTTGTAAATATGTATGTATGTCCAAAAAGAAAAATTGAGTGGTCTATTTGTGAAGTTTGAAGTCTCTGCAATTAAAAATATTACAGAAGTTAGTTAATAACTTTTAAAATAATTTTGTTTCTTTTTTTGTTTGTCTTTTGAGACAGGGTTTCTCTGTGTAGCCCTGGCTGTCCTTAACTTGCTATATAGACTAGGCTGGCCTGGAACTCACAGAGATCCACTTGCCTCTGCTTCCTGAGTGCTGCAATCAAAGGTGTGTACCACCACTGCCAGCTACTTTAAAAGAATTTCAATGAAGTGGAGGTTTGGATTAAATTAGATATTTTCAAATGTTTCCTTTTTAATAAGGAAACATTTGGCTTGGACAAAGCTCAGGGCTGAGTGGTAAGACAGTGTGAGCTTAGTGAATGTGAGACCTAGCTTACCCCAAGCAAGTAAGTAGGCCAATTAAGTTCAACTATAAAAGAAATTATGAAGCTGTTCAGGTTGAAATCTGAGGGGAGAATTTGAAAATATTTATTTTATTATTATTTTAAGGCAGTGTCTCATTAAGTCTAGACAAGCCTCAAGCTCATAATGTAGCTGAGGCTTGACCTTGGATTCCCAATCTTCCTGCCTCCACTTCTCAAGAGCTGGGCTTATAAAGGTATGTGCCATTACACCCAACTTTCATTTGCTTCCTTTTTTATATTTAAAGTTTATATCTTTATTTGTAAACAGTGGCTATTCTTGCTGTGTCACAGTTATAGGACTAAAGAGGTAACATACCCCCTTTTCCTTAACCATCTTTAAACTTTTTTCATAAAGATAAACATTATTAATCTCAAAGCTGATGATACAAGAATGAGTCAAAAAAAAAAAAACCTTTCCCCAAAAGGCTAGAGATATAGTCTTTCTTTTATAGCCTTTAAAAATATAAAATGCACACACACACACACACACACACACACACACACACACACACACACACAGAGCCAATCTTGGGTTACAAGTGGTAGTTTTCTGACCACTGCTATAAAGTATTCCCTTTGATTTGTCAGAGAAATTTTTCTCTCAGACTTCTGCTCAGCCTTTTAAATTTCTTCTCACCCAAATGTTACGTTTACTAAGGGTAGCTGATCAAAGAAATCCATTTCTTGTTTATATTTACAATGCTTGTCTCCCATACTTTATTGCTTGACTTTTATATTAGTTGATAAATATTTACTGAACTACTAACTGAGGAGGTGAATATAGTCAATATTGTTTCTCTGAGGTATGCTTTTATTGTATTTGTTCATTACATCATGCAAGGTACCTACCCAGAGCCTTGTGCCTGACACTGAGCTACATTCTGGTCTTGCTATGGTTTTGAAAAGAAAACGACTTTTAAGTCAATAATCAAATTATTTGAAGAGGAGCTTTTACTGAAGGGTGAAACACATCCCTGAAAGGGGTATGAATGGATCTCAAAAACTGTGCTGACAAATTTGCAAGTGTGTGTGTTTTTCTGGTAAGAGGATTGATAGCTTTTGTCAGATTTCAGATTCTTAACCCCCAAGAGTTAAGAAACCACATTAATGAAAGAATTTCAGATATCCACCATAACTTGGAACATACATGCATACATACATACATACATACATACATACATACATACATGAAAGGAACTCTTTTGGACACCCATCAAATCACACACACAAAACACACACACACACACACACACACACACACACACACACACACACACGTTGTCTTGATTGTAAAGAGTAAGTATGGCCACAGCCTCCCCCCACCAGCTGACTTTTCTGATCACACTGTACTCCTAGCATTAAAGTCACCTTCAGTCTTTCATGATCACTTCCATTACAATATGACAGTAGAAACTGCATTGAGTCTTAGATTAGGCTCAGCATCGCTCTGTGGTTCCTTTCTATGGGTTATTACAAAATCAGAGACAATTGCTTTCTTGCCTGGGCCTTCCCTATACCTGTACTCAAGATGAGAAGGTTGTGGGCTCAGTGATAATGGTGGATTGACGAGTCTGTCTGCCCATGTATGCACACTCCTTCCCTCAACCAGAGATCTTTCAGTGCAAGCCTTTGATATGGGAAAGCAAAACATTCACTCCAGAGCTTTAGGCAACTCTCTCCAGCCAAAACCCATTATCCTAACCCCTACCTAAAAAGGCCAGACAGCCTGGAGACCCTTGTTTTTGTGTCTCTAATCACCAGCTCAGACAGTGCCCTCTGGGCTGTTTGGATGGCACATCCCTATCCCTCCCAGGATCACTCTCTCTTTTGTTGCATTGTGAGAAAATTATGGCTAGGAATTTGATCTGGAGCCAGTGTCAGCTTCCGGGGGTGATCTCAGCATCCAAGTGTGAGCTTAGGATGCTGAGACGATGGGCACATTTCACAGTGGAAATTGCTCCCTGTGACCTTCCAATCCGTTCGCGGTTCGGTCTTCCAGGCCACAGAACAGGAGCAGCACAAACAAGGCCCCGAGGATTGGGTTTATTCAGCTCCACCCAGAACTAAATCAAAGGCTAGGATACATCAAGGGACCAAACCATACACTGTGGACCAGGCATCTATCCTTTCCCCCCCTGAGGACGCTGCTACCTCTGGGGTGGTGGACTTCTGGAATCACCGTGGGATGTAGACAGGGGATTCACTGGGTGCTGGGTCTACCGCGGGCAGTCAGGACTCAACTCTGGCTACCTCTTCCTCTTCCTCTGGGTCAGGAGGCGCAGGGAGCAGGGAGATGTAGACCTCATTGACTTCCGTGTCCAAATGCCGGCCACCCCGAGGCGCCTCTAAGTTAAGGATACCATCATGGGAGAGGGCAGCTCGGACCCGCCAGGGGTCTACATCTGCTGGCAGGACATAGGTGCGACAGAACTCTCGGGACACGAAGCCATGGCGGTCCAGACGCTGGGGGTGCCGGGCCGACACCTCCAGCAGGTTGTCCACAGTTCTCACGGTCACCTCGTCTGGGGTAAAGTGGCTCACATCCAGAAATGCCTGGAACTTGCCTTCGCTGAGCCTGAGCTCTGAAGCCCCTGCCCTACTGCCCTCCCCAGCTCTGGAGGCCCGAGGCCGGACATAGTAGCCATGGTAGAGGGTGGGGGTCAGGATCTCTTCTGGCAGGAGGCCTGGGTGGGCAGAGAGAAAGAGAAGGCAAGAGGCAGGATGAAGGATGAATGCAGTGTGCACAGGGCTGAAAGGCAACATCAGGAGACATGGGCCTGGGAAGAGCAGGTGGGGAAGCTGCTGAAGGGGAGCTGGGAAAGGAAATGAAATGGCAATGGAGGAAGCAAGCAGGGATTGGGAAGACAGAAGCGGAACTAGAAGGTATTCAGCAGGCAAGGACTGGAGCCCTGCGGGTCTAAAGTCCTGTCCTAAAGTCTGTAGCAAGAACAGAGCCTTGCTTGAGGCGGGAGTCAGGGGTGGGAGATGGCTCACCCCAGGAGTTCACTTAAGCCCCAGGTAGGGAGGAGGCCAGTGAAACTGGGCCAGGAGCCCAGAATTTCAGGAGGTGGGGGTGGGCAGCATCTAGGCCATACCTTCTCCGAAGCGCTGCTCACCCAGGCGGCTGGGGTTGGCAAATTCATACTCTGCCGTGGCTGGGTGGGCATGTGGCACTGTGCGGCCCGACATGACTCTGGTTGCGACTGGCAGCCCTGATCCCAAGCGCAGCCCCAACAAGATCGACGCGACCCCTTCAGCTGGAGGGAGAGCCAGGACTCAGTCAGAGTGGGGGCGGGGTCTACACCACCCAAAATAGTGCAAAGCCTCTGGGGGAGGGCCTGGAGCCTGGGCCCAAGAGTGTGGCGATGAGGGTGTGACCAGCACAGCCTGGACCCCCCAAGTCCCCTCCTCTGCACACTCTTCAGCTGTCGCAGAAGCCTGGATGGACAGCTGAGGGTCCTGGTACTGGAGCGAGTTGAGAAAAGGAATTGGTGCACTGTTGGAGAACAAAGGAAGGTCTTCTCAAATTGTACATTTCCGTATCACTGTCCGTTTGTCTTCTCAAATTGTACAGTTTTACATCACCGTTTGTCCTTCTCAACCGTAGGCACCATGCACACTACTTTAAAAAAAATTAAATGTTCCATGAGCTATATAGCATCAAAGATGCAAGAAGCATTTTCTATCTCTAATTTCAGGGTATTCTGAACCCAGGTCAACTCAGGGTTCTAGCCAGATATCTGGTACTGACATATTGGTGGTCAAGGGCTGCTCTCCTTAAGGGCACCACAAAGAGTTAATGTCCCTGGGGCCCAGCCTAGGAAGATTCCAGTCCCTGCCCAGGCTCAAGATAGTTGCTGGCTCAACTCCCCTGGCATGCAAGACTGGAGAGGAGGAGGGGCATGCCACCAGCTGCTTGGGATTCTTGACTCTGTCCTAGCTCCAGAGAACAAGGATGGGGGGTGGGTGCCACTGGGTGTGGACAGAGAGCTAGTGAAACAAGACCATGACAAGTCACTGGCCAGCTCAGCCCTGTTTGTGTTTCTCTTTTCTTAGCTCAGTGAGTACTGGGTATGTGTCACCCTGCCAAATCCCTGATCACAAGTCTCCATGAACTGGCGGTGAGCTGGGATAATAAAACCCCTGACATCACCATTCCAGAAGCTTCACAAGACTGCATATATAAGGGGCTGGCTGTAGCTGCAGCTGAAGGAGTTGACCAGCCAACTGTCCCTAGATTCATCGAGCCACCATGGACATCGCCATCCACCACCCCTGGATCCGTCGTCCCTTCTTCCCTTTCCACTCCCCCAGCCGTCTCTTTGACCAGTTCTTCGGAGAGCACCTGTTGGAGTCTGACCTCTTCTCAACTGCCACTTCTCTGAGCCCCTTCTACCTTCGGCCACCCTCCTTCCTTCGGGCACCCAGCTGGATTGACACTGGACTCTCAGAGGTGAGTCTCCCCTATGTCCTTCCTGAACTTCCCGGACACGTCTTCATTTGTTTTCCTTTTTGCCCCTGCCTAAGTCATGTCAGACATGTGAGTGTGCAAAGGTACAGAGAAATGGGGTTGCTGTTTCCTTCTCCTTGGGTATCTGCTTTCTTCTCCTTGGGCATCCTCTGTTTCCTATCACACCTTTTTTTCCCCCTGTGCATGGTAAAGGGCAGCTTCTGTCCCCTAATGATGAAGCAGATGCCCCTTTCTGGTTTTATTCATAGGGAGCTACATTAAGAGCTGCTTCAGCTCCTTTACTTGCCTCCCTAATCACCATGGTCCTGGCGGATTTTTTTTTTTTTTTTTTTTTATCACATGCAGTTGTAGAGATCAGAGAGAAACACACTCATTCTGAACTTTTCATGTCCCCTGGATGGAGCTGGAGACATCAATCGCTACATTCTCTGTCTCTCTCTCTTCCCTTGTCTCTGATTTTCTGGGTTCCTCAGCCCATGCCTTATGAGGAATGGATGTATGTGCACTCCTGGGAAGCCCCAGCTTGTCCTAACAGGGTGGGAAAAGGGTTGAACAGATAAGATTATCAGAAGCTGTCACAGATAACACTCTAGTTTAAAAATATTCCGGTGTGAGCAAACAGGAGCTGAGTGGGCAAGGGCTTTGGAAGGACGGGACCAGCAGAACATTCCAGATTGAGTGGGTAGGAAACTTGGCAGGGAGCTGAGAGAAAAAAAAAAAAGGCCTTTGTCTTATAGACAAATGACAAAGCCAGCATTGGGCAGAGAGACAGCAGAAGCCTAGACCCATCCTTGTGATCCCCTAGTGACCTATCTGCTTCGCTGCGCCTCTAAGTAAAGTTTGGGACTGATGACTAAGAGGTGTTTCTGGTATATGGTGGCTCACATGTACCAGAGTCATTCAAAAAAGGGATTATTTTTAGTAGCAAAGCGGAGGGTGAATTACCTGGACAGGAACTAAGTCTACAGAACAATGAGTCTTCTCCAATTTAATAGACATTCAACCAATCTTTTCACCTCCCTTTCCCCCTTGTTATTCTAGATGCGTATGGAGAAGGACAGATTCTCTGTCAACCTGGACGTGAAGCACTTCTCCCCAGAGGAGCTGAAAGTCAAGGTGCTGGGAGACGTGGTTGAAGTGCATGGCAAGCACGAAGAACGCCAGGTGTGTGGCCCATTCGTCTCCTTTTGAAATTCATTTAGTGCACACTGGATGCCAGGCACTGCCACCAGTCTCTGAAGCTGGCAGAATTCCAGGCCCCAAACATAAGGGACTAGAGCAGGAGCTGCAGATCAATAGCTAGGAAGCTAAATTAGGGATAAATATGTTGTTATTGTTATGGTTTTGCTGAGAGAAGTATCCCTTGCTGTTTGTTTTGATTGCCTTATTGGTGTCTGGTGACATCAAAATATCAAAAGAATTTTCAAAATTCCCAACCCTCAGACACACCTTAGGCCAGTTTTAGAGATATAACTCGGGCATTAACATTTTAAAAAGTCTCCTTAGATAATTTCAGTCTGTAATCAAAACAGGCAACCACTGGTTTAGGTGCAGTGTGTTGTACATAATGGTTGTTGTCTGTAATGACATTAACTACAGGGTTGAAGGTATTTCAGTCTGTGACTTTTAGTTGTTCAGGATTCTATGTCTCTTCTGCTCATTTTAATGCGAAGTTACTTGGTTTGTCCACATTTTAGAGCTTCAGGCTTATGGCTGTAAGGAAGTCAGTTAATTCAGGTTTAGTTGGATGCCTGGAATTCAGAAGGTCTATGGGTTAGGGTCAACAATTCCTCTTGCACTTTTGGCAATTTTTTTTCTTGACTTCCTGAAAAGGTGTTATGATTGCTTCTTAAAAATTAATAACTCAGCCAAGCATGGTGGTGCAGGATACAGGAAGCAGAGTTAGGTGGATCTCTGAGTTGGAAGCCAGCCTGGTCTACAGAGCAAGTTCCAGGACAACTACACAGAGAAACCCTATCTATCTCAAAAAACAAAACAAAAAAGTTAATGACTCAGAAGCTATCATAATTAGTGTATCTTAATATCTTCAGGCTGTTTCAATTTTGCTCATATGATTTAAGACCAGACCACAGTCTCCCTGAGAGTCACCTTAAATAATATCAGCAATTCTGTGGGTTAGGAACATCCTAAGACATTCCTGAGGAACTGGGACAACTTATGGGCTTTCTCAAGGACATAGATCATCAGTGCCAAAGTCCAACCAACACAGATTCATTCCTTTGTGGGTAGTACCCCTGGCAGTTTTGTTCTAGCCTTAAACCTGGATGAACGGCTCTTGACTTAGCTATCTGTATGCTTGTTGCAGTGTTGGATATGAAGCTCAGGACCTTTCACCACTAGACTATATCCCCAGCTTCAGACATTACTTTTTTCCCTTATGATGTCAGGGCAATTTGGTTTAACCAAAGGGAAGGTGATGCCTGAGTTTGGGGAAAGTGGAGGCATTCCCTGTTCTTATTTCTCTGCTTCTTTCTTCACTCCCTTGGATTAGGACGAACACGGTTTCATCTCTAGGGAGTTCCACAGGAAGTACCGGATCCCAGCTGATGTGGATCCTCTGACCATTACTTCATCCCTATCATCTGATGGGGTCCTCACTGTGAATGGACCAAGGAAACAGGCCTCTGGCCCCGAGCGTACCATTCCCATCACCCGTGAAGAGAAGCCTGCTGTCACTGCAGCCCCTAAGAAGTAGACTCCCTTTCTCTCATTGCATTTTTTAAAACAAGAAAGTTTCCCATCAGTGAAGGAAAATCTGTGACTAGTGCTGAAGCTTATTAATGCTAAGGGCTGGCCCAGATTATTAAGCTAATAAAATATCATTCAGCAACAGATTTGTCTCGTGTTTCTATATTCAGGGTGCTTTAAATAACTACAAGCATATTGGATCTAATTCTCATACTATGATTCAGGGAACTCAAGGACTTTTGGGTCCTTGAGAAAGACTGGCAGCACTTCCTAGTGGTATAAACTCAGGAGAGTCATTCACTTTCCCTAGTCTTCTGGTCTTCCGTCTATAACATGCTGTACTGTTAGGACAGAGTTGTAAGGAATAGATTAAAGAAAAGAAAAAGAAAAAGAAAAACAGGTGATGCCCCAGCAAAGTTCAAGGAATATCAGTTGCTCTAGAGAGAAGAGCTCTGGCTAACCCCACATAAAAGTCTCCAGTGCATCTCTGAAATTAATCACATCACCAGGGAGACATGGTGACCTTAGTGTGACTTGACAAGGGTTGTCAGCTAATTCACAGGACAGTAAGTAGATCATGGGTGGGAATCATCAAACAAGCCTCTTAGGTGTAGTGCAAAGTATTCAACCTCTACCCTTACCCTCCTTTTTGGCTTTTTGAAGACAGGATTTCTCTGTGTAGCACTGGCTATCCTGGAATTTGCTTTGTAGACCAGGCTGGCCTAGAACTCAGAGATCTGCCTGTTTCTGACTCCCAAGTGCTAGGATTAAAGGTGTGAGCCAAGTTTCCTTAAGCAAAAGCTAAGCAGACAAACAAACAAACAAAAAACCTACAACTCCCTAATAATCTGACATACCATACTACCCAGAAAGCCCTTTTCTTTAAAGTCATAATCAATTTCTGTGTCTGTGCAGCAATTAATATTGGTTGCATAAGAGAATGTTATTATTCCTTTTTGGTCTAGCCAATGAAAGATTTGTCCCAGTATTCATTACACCCTTCCAAGCCATGTAGCAGAAACCAAGTTCAACCACAAGTGGTTCAAATAAAGCAAAGAAATTCCTTTTGTCTGCAGTGATTGACTTGAAAGGGCTGTAGCCCAATTATGGTAAAAGAGACAATAAGGAGGTCTACTTGAAATGCTTCTAGGAGCTATTTTTAAACTATGAAAGAGTGCCGAGGGGCTAGCTCAGTGGTAGAGTTCTTGTTTAGTATATGTGATGGTGTAATGTCCTAGTTCCCACCCTTGACATTGCAAAAATTAAAACACTAAGAGTTGAGATGAGAGAAAGATGGAGGAAGGAAAGAGGAGGGGTGTGTGTGTGTGTGTGTGTGTGTGTGTGTGTGTGTGTGTGTCTGTATACAGGTCAGAAGTTGATGGTGCTGTGAGTCTCAGTTATTCTCCATCTTACTTTTGATTGGGTTGTGTCTGTGTGTCCATGTGAACATCTTTGTATGTAAATGAGGATGTGTATATGTCATGGTGTATGTGTGTCAGGCAGAGATCAGCCTGTGGTCCTTGCTTTCCACCTTTAAGTTTATTGCCTGCGCTCAAAGATATCCGTAGGACGTAATGCTAAGATTTCTTTATTTAGATAAACACCAGCCCAAAGGCAAGCCAGGGCGTGACCAGAGGCCGCAAGCTAGCGTGGCCAGAGAGAGACATCCACATGTTCGAGGCCTCTTAAGAATTGCCTCTGCATCATCTTCGCCCTCCCCTGGCCACGCCCTCACGGGAGTGGCCAGGCACACCTCTAGGGGCTACTAGGAGGCGGGGCTACAGTGTCTCCCTTCATAAGTTCCTTGTTTTTTTCTACTGTGCACTTCAGGTTAGGTAGCCTTCTAGCTTCCTGGGATTTTCCTGTCTCTGCCTCGGCCTTTACTATGGGATCTCCAGGATCGTTTTGGTTTTGGTGCTGGGGGTAGAACTAAAGGCATGCTAAGCACTTACCTTAACCCTGAGTTATGAACCTTGTCTCTTACTGATTCTCAATGGTTTATTAAAAGTAGCAAGATGTACACTATTTGAGCATGAATTTAGAAAGAGAACAGAATGAAGTGCCCAGGAATTTTGGTTTGGTTGGAGAACTGGGTGTACGAAAGGGAGTATGGGAAATGAAGGAATGAAGAAAGGGCTCTACTGCCCTTTGGAATTTATTTGGAAGGCAACAGAAGCCAATGAAGGAATTAAATCAAATGAGTGGAACGAACAACCTAGTATTTTAAAATTCACTCTATGGAAATATGGTGATGGGAAGAGTAGAAAGCCAATGGGAAATAATGATGTCACAAAGGTATTTCAGCAAACTAGAATTAGGAATGTGACAAAGACAATACAAATGTAAAAGACATACATACAGATCATAGGGACATAAAATTAACAGGACATGGCATCTGTCTGGATGAGAAAGGAAAACCTAAAATAATTTTTGTATTTTTGACAAGCGTGTGGCTAGCTTATTGTATAATATACAATATTAAAAGTTAGAGTGATTAGGATATATAAAGAGCTTTGAAATTCACCAAGATATAGATTAGGGGTAAAATTTCAAGCCATAGGATTATGAATAATAGTTCAGAGATGTAGAGTCTTTGGGAGTTCAAATGAAAAGTATTCAGTAAGTATTTAAATGTTCTGCTCTGAGACACATTTGGGATGGAAGTATACATTGAGAATCTGGAAGTGGGCCAGTGAGATGGCTCAGTGAGAATAGGTGCTTGCTGTCAAACATGAGGACCTGAGCTCCATCCCTGATACCCACCTGGTAGAAGGAGAGAAAACCAACTCCCACAAGTTATTTTTGAAGTACACAGAAGTACACTGTGGCACACATTTGTGTGAAAAAACATACACACAAAATAAATAAATTCAAAATAAAAATGTATGTATGGAATATCAATTAAAGGCAGGGTAGTTGGTACTATCACCTGAGATTATCACAAGAGTAGAAACAGGACAAACAACAGAATTGTTGGAAAGGAAAGCTTAAAGGATCCACATAGAAAGGTCAGCTCATAAAAGAACCCAAGAAGCAATCAGAGGAATGGGAGGCAATAGCTTGCCACAGTGTCACGGATATCACGCGAATGATAGCCAGGAAAGAGACAGGTGGTCAAGTGTAGCTGAGCAGCCTGCTAACACAAAAGGGGGACTTAAAAACAGCAATACCAGTGATACGACTGGAGGAAGAGATGAGAGCTAAAGGGCTGATTTGCCAATCCTAGTCTAGTTCATAGCTAAAAAATGACATGGAGAATGGAGACCCCCAGTGATCTGCAGAAAGAGGCCAATTGCAGAGTATAAAAGTCAATTAACATAGTCACTGAAGTAGCCACTAGGTTTGACAAAACGTCCACTTTCATGGATACAGTTTCAGGGCATGGTAGGTCAAGTGAGTGAACGAGAAAGATTCTTGACAGAAAGAAAAGGAATTTCCTTATACTCATAAATGCCAGGGCCAGTGAAAATCTAGAATAAATGTTATGCCTGCCCAAGAGAGTTTAAATACAGTCCTATTGATATCCTGAGCAAGATGATCACACCTGGTATTTGTCTCTACTCTCAAGATTCTGACCAATGTCACACTAGAACAGATGTAAAAGTTGCAAAGTTAGAGACAGAACTGTCATTTACAAAGATATAATCTGCCAAAATAAACGAAGAAGCAAACTGCAGAAAAACAGAGTTCAACAAAGTCTTCAAGATAAAAATCTACATATGAAGTTCTGTTTTCCATTTCTACCTTTTAAATTACCCCATTAGTGACCTAAAATAACAATTATTCTATTAGACTGTGCTGTGTAGTGCAGGGATCGGCTACAGCCACTTGGTGACACCTTAATGATAGATACACTGTCACCTGAATATCAAGAAGGCTGAGCACCTTATTCCTGACATCTTCCTAGGTATTGAAAAATACAGGAACACAGAAATCCCAAGATACATATAATTTACCCAAAGAAACAGAATATCTATATAAACTTATTACTGGAGTAAGGGGGTTGAACCAGAAACTGAAATATTACAATAAAGAAAAGCATCCCTATTTACCAACTTGAACTACTTGCAATTCTCTTCCAACCTACCCCCTCACTGCTTTGCAGACCTCCCCCATGTCAGTAGCTCATTCCAGCATCTCTCTGAAGCACCAACACCCTGGGTCAAGCTGCCATTCCTTCATCTTCTAGGTTCAGCATGCTTAGCTTTATTTGATCAACAGACTCCCTTGGTGCTCTCAGTGGAGGAGTTAACAACTGGCTGTCTCTCCCTTATTATTTTTTGGATCTATACAGAAATTGAGATAAAAATGTATTCCTGAGATGTGTTCCAAAATAAGTCAATCCATTTAATATTCTCTGTAATAATAGGGAAGTTGTTCTTTTCATAGTCCTCAGCAGGGGTTACTTGGGAAGGGCATTCTATGACTGACTTACTTCAGGAATACACATAGCAACATACAAGCTACGCCACGTTTTTCAGACGTGCCACTGATGGAAAGCAGAGTGTTTACATATCTGAAAGACATATTTTTTTTTTAAAGATAGGATCATATAGGAGCTGGAGAGATTGCTGCTCTTCCAGAGGTCCTGAGTTCAATTCCCAGCAACCACAAGATAGCTCATAACCATCTATAATGGGATCTGATGCCCTCTTCTGGTGAGAAGGTGTATATGCAGATAGAGCACCATAAGCATAAAATAAATCTTTAAAAAGAAAAAAGACAGGAATTTGTTTCAATTTACACCTTTTAAGTCTTATCATCCAGGAAAGTCAAGGTAGGAACTCGAGACAGAAAACTGGGGGTAGGAGCTGATGCAGAGGCCATGGAGAGGTGCTGCTTACCAGCTTGCTCTCCATGGCTTGTTCAGGCTGTCTTCTAGCATTCAGGACCACCAGCCCAGCGGTACCACTGCCCACGGTGGGATAGGCATTCCTATATCCATCTTTAATCAAGAAAATGTACTCACCCCTGGCTTGCCTCAGGTCAATGTAAGGAGGTAATTCCTCAATTAGAATTCCCTCTTCCCAGACATGTCTGTCTAGGTTTGTGTTCAGTTGATAAAAACTCACCAGGACAGTTAAACAGTAGTAGAGATTTTGTTTTTTTTTGTGCTTTATTTAGACAGAAACCATGTAAAGAGTGAAGTTTGAGTCTGCTTAGAACGTGTTCCTTTCTACAGTCTGCTTCAAAAAAAAATGCTGCTGCTGCTTCTCTCAGACTTCCGGATCCAAAGCTTGCTCCACATTTGGATCATACAAGCACCAAGAGTAATGGCTGGGTTGTGGCTTTGAGTAGCTACTCATATAAGTTGACTTTTCTGTGCATTTGTAGTGAGGAGGATCCAGCTCAGGCTGATGGCCAGGGAACCAATGAGCATCTCGCTTAAATCCTAAGGGAAGGAAAGATAAACAGTCAACAAGGAGTTTTAGTAACAAAGCTCTTATTTCTTAGTCCTGCCAAAATTGAGACAAGAGAGATTGTTCACTTATTTATACATTCATGTTACTCTTGAGTTCCTTCCATCTGCCAGGAACTAAGTTGGGTGCTAAGAGTTAAGAATCAATAACATGGGGGGAGGGGAGGGAGAGGGAGAAGGGACTGACATCTGAAGCAAGCTTGTTCCTAATTTGAATCTAATAAAAATAAAATAAAATAATTAAAAAAAGAAAAAAAGAATCAATAACATGAGTCCACCTACTATGGGCTGATTGTGGCTTTTTGCTGTTGTAGCTTGTATCATATGTTGATTCAAAGTAGTGTCCAAACTAGAAAGAAAAAGTAATAGATTAAGAATATAGGCCCGGGCAGTGGTGGAGCATGCCTTTAATCTCAGCACTAGGGAGGCAGAGGAAGGCAGATCTCTGTGAGTTCGAGGCCAGCCTGATCTACAAAGCTACACAGAGAAACCCTGTCTCAAAAAAAAAAAAAAAAAGAAGAAGAAGAAGAAAGAAAAGAAAAGAGAGAAAGAAATTCGAATATAGCCAGGCAGTGGTGGCCCACACATTTTGTCCCAGGACTAGGGGGTTGGGGTGGGGGTAAAAGGCAGGCAGATCTCTATGAGTTTGTGGCCAGCCTTGTCTACAGAATTAGTTCCAGGACAGCCAGTGCTACACAGAGAAACCCTGTCTTGAAAACAACAACAAAGAATCTAGTAGTTGGGGGCTAGAGAGATGACTCCATGGTTAACAGCAATGGCTGCTCTTCCAGAGGACCTTAATTCCCAGCATCTACATGGCAGCTCACAACTATCTGTAATTGCAGTTCCAGGGGATCCAGACATACATGCAGGCAAAACACCAATGCACATAAAAACTAAATAAGTCTTAAAAAAGGGAAGAAACAAAGAGAGAAAGAGAGAAAGAAAGAGAAGAACCTAGTAGTCTATAGCTAACATCAAGAAGTAAGGGACAGTGCAGCATGACTTAATTGCTATGTCATTTGAGGTAGACTAGAGTTTCATCTGTGATTAGTCTGTCATACTTTCATATCCATTGTTTAGGAGACTAAAGAGCAAGGCTCAGGTAAACAACAAGCCCAGAGGAGAAGATATCCTGAGTCAGGAGACTGTCCTTCTGTAGATTAACAGGTGAAATCCAAATGAAGGGAGAAGAAAAAGATCTACTCATCATTTGATAATTTATGGGTAATAGTCAACTTGACACTAAAGTGGGCTAGGCGGTCCAGCTGAAGAATGAGCTCTCATAATGCTAAACCCAAATCTCACATGGCCACTGGCATTTCTTCGAACAGAAGGTAACAAAAGAAGAGAACAAACATTGTATTACCTGGGAAGGCAAGGGTTTAGGTTTTACAATATTCTTTAGGTCATATCTTTCCTGGTTCCAATTGCCTATCAAAGTAGAATGTGAATATGAGTTCTCATTAGTGGTGCATCTCCACCCGTACTGAAAAAACTTGGACATGTTATTCCAGTCTGTCCACACTTCACCATGACCATCAGCATAAATAAGGCTGCCATAGTGTGGGATTCTGAGGAAATAGACAAGTTTCTGTCTCTGGAAAAACAAAGAACATAAAACTTACTAAACAATCAGAGCAGAAAATGCACTTGTCTCTACCCCTGCTCTACAGGGCAGAGTGTTAACACAAGCACACCTTAACAGTCCAGGCTTTTGTCCAAATATAATTTATAAGGGTCTGATTCTTCCTCTTCAGGTGCATATACCCACAGATCTATCATGTCAATCACCAGCAGTGGATGACTGACTATACAAATGCTACTATCCCACATTCCTTGAAAAGACAGAAAACCCCTCAGCATTCCCAACACCAAATGAGCAATGAGCTAAATGTTTTAGTGATTTCAAGATGTAAGAGTTGAGGGTCTAAGGGTATTGCTACAGAGAGAATGAGAGGTGAAATGTTGAATAGCCAAATAACACAATGAATGATTAACAATAACTACCTTTTCCAGGTCAAATAAGCTAACTCTCCTTTTACCTCACATAGTTTTCTTCACATTGTTCACTTTATACGTTTCTGTCATGGTTTCAAGAACATGCAATGTATTATCTATTGAACCCCATACCTGTTAAGAACAGGATCTGTGTTTTGTTTATTGTTGTATATATCCTCCCAACCAATAGTTACCATCCCAATCAACAGTTCTTTGCACATACTAGATGGGAAATGTATTTAAAATTTTTGGCAAGCAATCAAAAGTCCAGCTTATTATTATTATTATTATTTTTGTTACAAAATAAGCCTGGTCCCTGGGCTAAGGAGCAAGATGATACCTGTAATTTCGATGCGTAACTTGTTGGTGAACAAAATGATTTGTCTGAATATTTCGAAGAGAAACAGTGATTCTTTTGTTGCCGTTCCATGTTCATTAAAGATGTCTCCAAACCTGATCTTTCCAGTTCTCCAAACAAAGGAGATCACCATGGACACACGGTCATGGTCTGACACACACAAACCAACTGCCTTTTCATGGGCAGACAAAACCAATGCTGCAGCAATGAAGGATGAGATCGTAGGTAACTCCCCTCACATCATCTACCTTTGTGAAGATATGTGTATGCATGTGCTGATGTCACCAAACAGCAGGATGACTTGGGTAGCTGGGCCCAGAAAGCCTAATAGGCTTAGTGTTTAGAGGTGATGCTAATCCTAGAGCTAGTATGACAGACATCCACTCAGTTGTTTAAGACAGAAAACCAAGGATGATTTTTGACTTTTCTTCTGGCATTCAATTAGTCAGTCACTAAGTCTTGTTGATATTTCTGAATCAGTCCACTACTTTTCATCTTCACTGCCGATGTCCAATTCAAACCACTGTCTCCTTTTGTCGAAGTTACTGCAAGTAGCTTGTTACCTGATTTCCTTTTTCCTTGTCATCAACTGTGTTCTTGTATAATCCTTTCTCCACAAGAAAGTAGCTTCTCAATCCCTAGCAACTGGGTCATTGCAGAGCATGCGCCAGAAGCTCTGGAGACGCCATTTCCCAAGGTTTGTAAGCCCCTCGATACAGATCCAAGAGGCTTGCAGAATATAGAGCTCTCCCCAAACTTCTCCAATCTTAAGACACTTGTTTTAGGAACACTTAAAACAACTCAAAGAATACCAGCTGCCCTTAATAGTTGCCCTTTTACTTCTGGTATTATTCTCTTAAAGAACATAGTCTCCCTCCAATGGGAGACTATAATCAGACTTCATTTTCAAATTTGAAATAATCAAATATCTCACAACATTTTATTTAATTCTGACATGTAACTCTGCCTTTTGGAAAAATTCAAAACCTGGGATTTTTGAAGTTTTATTTTCTACATGCATGAGTGTTTTCCTGCATGTATGTGAGTTTATTACAGACCACCGGAGCCACTGGGTGGGTGCTGAGAACTGGATGTGGCTCCTATTCCAGCGCATGAGCTCTTCACCACAGATCCATCTCTCTAGCTGCCCCAAAGGTGAATAGAGGCACATGTCAAGTCTAAAGGCAGAAAGTTGACCCTACTTCTGTAGATGTTCCATGGAATGTTTGAATTACAACAGCCGCAGTCTTTTCCCTGGTAACCCCATAGCTGTATTCCTAGCATTCACAGAGCCCTAAACTCTATGCCTGAGTTTCTCCTATAGTAAAATAGGATTATCATGAGGGTTAAATGAGATAATGAATAAAATGCTTCCACAACAAAGGAAAAAAAGTATCTTCTTCTTCCTCCTTTCTCTTCCTCCTCCTCCTCCTCTTCCTCTTGTAGCTCTGACTGTCCTGGCACTCACTCTGTAGACCAGGCTGGCCTCAAACTCAGAGATCCACCTGCCAGTTCTGGGATCAAAGGCATGTGCCACCACCCCCTGGCAAGAAAGTGATTTTTGACAACAAAACAAACCAAAAAAAAGGGGGGGCATCTTCCTACTTTAAATCTCTTAGTGGCTCTTGTTGTTGATAAAGCAACTGAATTTTTAAATCCAACTTTACAGTTTACCTAGACCATTTCTGATTAAGGAAACCTAAGGAAGTGACTGCTACAACCCAGCAACAGGCAGTGGCACTCATCAGTTCTCCAGGGAGGCTTCCTGCCTTCAGGGATTCTGAATGCTGACTGGGCTCTCTGCTCAAACTTGCAGGGACCACTCGTGGTGAATTTTAGTCTGCAGATCACTTTTCCCCGTATTTCTTTGTAAATTCTTCAGCATTCTTACAGCATTCTTTAAATGATCCGTAGAGTGTTCTTTAGTTACGTCAGCCCAGGGTGGGTGCTTGGGTGGGAGATCATTCACCAGTACTGAAGGAAGGCATTGTTATGTGTTGTCTTCCAGTTTTCAGCTAATCAATGGCAGACAGACATGGCCCCTTTCATCATCAATGTTAGGGGGACAGATTTCCATTTTAAATATGGTCTTGAGTGGAAAGTTGATTTTTTTCTCCGGAGGCCAATTTATCGGGCGGACTGCCAAGAACAACAAGCCCTTGCCAAATCAATAAAATAGCTTCATCAACCTGGATGTTATCAAAGTTTTTCATTTCACATCGTGAGACCTCCTCAAGCTTCTTCATCAGCCTCTTGTTGGCTGACATGTTGGATTTTCAGTGGCATTCTATATTCTCAGAGTAAGGTTTAGGCTGTTACGCCTACAACACTTCATATGGCCTGGCCCTTCAGTGAAACCTGCTACTCACTCTCCTACAGTGATCAGCCAGTCAAATGTAACTGCTGTTTTTTTTTTTTTTCTCCAATTATGGCTTTGTAACCATTGTTCTGACTCTAATCCTTTTTACCTAGATAAAATGAACACCATCTCCCATTAGTCCCATCTCCCATTAGCTTTCAACACAAGCTTTCTTCAGGGAATCTATACCTCTCTTCCCCAACTTGGTAGTGTTCCCCCTTGTGTATGCTTGTGTGATCTGAATTCCTTCACCCACAGTGGGTACACACCCCATTATATTAGAGTTGCCTCCTTTTGCTGTGTGCATTCGTTATCAGACAGTAGGCAGACCACTTCTAATCCATCCATATATGTAACTGCTCTCACAGCGCCCTGTGGAACAAAATAGGCATTCAACTTTTTTCTTTTCTTGAAAATAGGACATACAAGCACCTTGAGAAATGTTGAGCAAGCCGCTGAGAGACCAGGAGGTAGTGGTGATGGTGCAGTTACAAACCCCTCTGCCACTGGAACAGGCAGGACTCTCGCCCATCAGTTACTGTTTTGTGACCTCAAGCAGGTGTGGCGAAGACGTTCAGGTCCGGCCTTATACTGAAAGGCAAACCAGACTTCCGAGGCGCACGAAGGTAACGAGGCAAGGTCGGTAACTCCATTATCACCTTTTAAGCTCGTAGCTTCCCTGACAGTGGCCTTAAGTGTTTTTCCAGGAGACCACATACTGTTGATGCGTCATCGACTAGTGCCTGACGGAGAAGGGAGGGGGCAGCTGAGGCCTATGCGAAGGAAGTGACGCACAATGTGCGTTCCAGAGAGCCCCCGCAGGGAGCCCGAGGAGACCATGGTTGCCCGGCGCCTCCTGTTGGTCGGGGAAGGGAATTTCTCCTTCACCGCTTCTCTGATCGACACCTTGGATCCCGGCGTCAGGGTTACCGCCACCTGCCTCCAGCACCCTGCCGATCTGGAGGGGGATCCCGTGACCCAGGAGAACCTACAGCGCCTGCGCCAGCGAGGTACCGGGTCCCACCCCTCCGCCAGGCCAGGCCCAGAGAGTGGGGTGTGGCTTGCTTTGGGAATGCGAGTGCGCCTCCTGGGGGCTCTCACGGGGAAGTGCTCTGCTGGGCTGGTTTGCAGTTTTGGGTTTGTCCGGGTTACAGATCTTAAGAGTGCTTTTTGGTCTATATTTCACCCCATTGAACTTGCTTTGCCAGGTGTCGAAGTCCGTTTTGGTGTGGATTGCACCCAGCTGGCACGCGCCTTGCAAGCACACGAAAGAGACTTTGATCGGATTTATTTCAACTTTCCGCACTGCGGACGAAAAGCTGGAGTAGCTAAGAACAGGAAACTGCTTGCCATGTTTTTTCAGAGGTGAGAAGAGACGAGTCCTCGCCTGGGGAAATTTCCAGGTGTCCATAACCAAGTTACCACGCACAAACTTTTTAGTTAGGGCAATAAGGCAGACGTGTGTAAGTTGCTAGGAAAAAAGTGGAAAGAAGATAAAACCCAAAGGAAACCACAATCTTGTCTTAAAGTGAGTCATATAACACTAGATGTAAAAGCACAAGTATGCCTTGGGAGGAAAAAGGCAAGATTATTTTTAAAACTTTAATTCGTGTCTGTCTGTATGTGTTTAATGTATGGGTGTGGAGGTCAGAGAACAATTTAAGAGGAGTCGGTTCCCCTTCCCTCATGGATCTGGGGGATAGACCTTAGGCTGTCATGCTTGGTGGCAAGCACCATTACCCACTGATTCATCTCGATGGCTCCAAATTTTTTGTTTACCGATTTTTTTTTTAAACTGGGCGGTGGTGGTGAGCGCCTTTAATTCCACTACTTGGGAGGCAGAGGCAGGCAGATCTCTGTGAGTTCGAGGTCAGCCTGGTCTACAGAGCTACACAGAGAAACCCTGTCTTGGAAAACCAAAAAAAAAAAAAAAAATGTATATAGGTGTTTTGTTGGCATGTATGTCTGTGCATCACGAGTGAGCCTGGTGCCCAGGGAGACCAGAAGAAGGCATTGGATCCCCTGATGGGTGTCGCTATCATATGGATGCTGGGAATTGAGCCACTGAAGAGCCAGTGCTCTTAACTGCCGAATGCTCTCTCCAGCTCACCCCCAAAATGTCTTTAAATGCAAAATAGTAAGAGCCAGTATAGTCTAATGACTAAGAGCATGGATTTAAGAGCTACATGCCCTGGGTTCAAATGCTGGCTCACCACTTACTAGTTAAAACAGTACGCAACCTTAGTCCTTACCTGCTTCTTTTTCTGCACCTTTAAACCAGGGTTACTAATAGTGGATGCTTCTTAAAATGCTTGTGACTTTAGGGGCTGGAGAAATGGCTCAGTGATTAAGAGCACTGGTTGCTCTTCCAGAGGTGCTTATTTCAATTTCCAGCACCCACATGGTTGCTCACAACCATCTGTAATGAGATATGGTGCTCTCTACTGGCCTATAGTCATATAGAACACTGTATATATATAACAAATCTTTAAAAAACATCATTATGACTTTAATACACTGCTTTACACCAGTATACTAGACTGATAATATTGGAGGGCTTCACTGGGCTACAGGTTTGAGAAACCTTGAGCAAAGTCAGTGTTTTACATTTAGGCAGTTGAGGTATAGATGTGTGTGTGTGTATGGTGATTATTAAAGCCAGGGCCTTAATGCTTGGTGATGTAGTGCTCAACCCAGCCATGAACTATAGAGGCAGAAGGCAGTAAGTTTTCCTAATGGGGAGAAGCAACACAAAGAGTGAGGTTTATGTAGGAACTTTGTGGACATTGGCCTTTCTGTCACACACAGGAAAACAACACAAATGCAAAGCTGGTGAACAGTACTGTTGTAGGGACACAAGCGGACTTTTTATTTATTTATTTATTTAAAGATTTTATTTTTTTATTATGTATACAACATTCTTCTTCCATGTATATCTGCACACCAGAGGAGGGCACTCATTATGGATGGCTGTGAGCCACCATGTGGTTGCTGGGAATTGAACTCAGGACCTCTGGAAGAGCAGTCAGTGCTCTTTAACCTCTGAGCCATTTCTCCAGCCCATTATTTATTTATTTTTAATATGGTTAGGTTTACTAGACCGCTGCATGTAAGGTGGATTTTAATTATTTCAGAGCTAAACCGTGTGCATATTGCTGATTCCCATTGTTATTTCTGTTTCTGATGAATTTCTGGTGTTTGCCATCTATAAGCTGTGCTGATGTTCTCGCAAAGGAAGGAGAAGTCCACGTGGCACTGTGTAGAGGACAAGGTGGAACCCCTGCTGATAAGCCCCAGAGAGAGTGGCACAACAGTTGGCAAGTGGTTGCCATGGCAGCCCTGGGAGGGTTCATTTTAAGCGATGTGTATCCCTTCAGTTGTGAGGCTGTGCCAGGATACACGTGCACTGGGTATAGGTAAGTAATACCATAAGCCTAAACCTTCTCTTCTTTCATCTTTTGCATGAAGTAATAAAAAAAAATCAAAAGCAGGCTTTTTCCCTTTTAATTTCCTGGTTTAGTTTCAAAAGTACTTTTTTTTTTCCTGATGGCAGCCTTCACATACACACACACATATATTTAACTTAAACTAAAATGTAAATATATAATACTTAAACTAATTAAATGTAAACATGTAATATTTAGTTTAAAGAAGTTGTTTGTTCCTTTACCTTGGCAGAAGCCAGGCTAAGTCGTTCCGAGTAGAAGGCGCTGTGAATCATGTCTTCACCCAGAGCTCACCCTTGGAAGGCTGTCAGCCCAGAGCATTCAGGGTCAGACTCGGAGACCAGTGCTTTTCCTGTACAGAGCCAGAAGCACTGGCAGGAAAGCTGAACAGGTAATCTTTTGGTTTGCTGGAAATGACTTCTGTCCCTTCTTGTGTCATGATTGTCCTAATGGGGACTTCATTTTGAATGGATGGACCCTGAATTGTTAATGATGTTGGTGCTGGGCGTGCTTGCCAGGCTGATGACACTGTAGGGGTGGTGACAGAGTCCTAGACTGTATGGTAATTCTCCAGGCCTGGGACTATAGTTCAGTGGTAGAATAACTTGCCTAGCATGCACCAGGCCTGAAATTTGCTCCCATCATTGCAAAAACAAACAAACAAAAAAA